AATTAAGGTCCCTGATCAGTTGACTGTGAGTTAGTCAAAAGGGAGATTATCCTGGGTGGATCTGATCTAATCAGGTGAGCATTAAAAAACGGACAAAAGAAACAACAACAGATGCCTCTGCTGGCCTGGAAGAAAGCAAACATCAGTGTTGTAAACTGCCATTCCTGGACCATGGCATTATGACCTGAGAGTGGCTTCTAGGAGCTGAGAGCAATCCCTGGCCAAAAGCCAGCAAGGAAACAGGGACTTCAGTCCTACATCCCCAAGGAACTGAATTTTGTCAACAACCAATGAATATGGAAGAGGACCCTAAGGCTCATGTGAGAGCACAGCCCTAGCCAACACCTGAATTTTAGCCGGGCAAGACCCTTAGTGGAGGACCAAGCTAATCTACCCAGACTCCTGCCCTGTGGAAACAGATCATAAATCTGTGTTGTTTTAAGTTGCTAAGTATGTGGTAATTTGCAATGCAGCAAAAGAAAACAAATGTATATGTGAAAGGAGTTTATGTACACAGGGTAGATTAGCTCCACGGGGAGTCTAACAACCACACCCCACAGCTAAATCCCAGAATTGTGCTGAACCTGAGCCAAGGTACCAAGTATGGTGTACCCATCATGACTGCTCAGCCCCAGCCTCACCATGATCCAAGTAGCAGGTGGGACAGGATCACTCTCATTTCCTCCTATGAAATGGCACACTTAAGATCTGAGGAAAGTGAGCCAAAATATAAGCCACACAGGATAGGGAGAACTGACTTTCTGAGCTCATAGCTAGTATGAGACAGTTGATATTTGTTATAAGGTTGAGATGGTAGAGAAGGCAGTCTGGCACTCTCTGGTGCCAGACCTGTGGTTACTTGGCCACATAGAACTTTAGTCCCTAAGATACCGAACATGCAAAGCCGAAGGACACTGAAGTATCATTTTTCAGAAGGGCCTCTTAGAAGAAGGAAGGAAGGGGAAGCAAGGTGGAAGGAGAGGAAAAAAAAAAGGAGAATTTAATTCAGTAAACAAATATTTATGGTGCCCATTATGTGCACAGTTCTGTTCTAGGCTCCTGAAATACAACAGTAATTTAAAAAAACAGAATCCCATGCAAAAAATATATAGAGAAATCAATCCCAGTGGAAAAATACAGAGAAATCAATAAAACAAAAAGTTAAAAATACATAGTATGTACTGATTGTAAAGCAAGGAAGAAGTTAGAAGGGATATTGGTGTTCAACTTAAAAGAGTCAGATAAGACTCCCTTAGAAGGTCACATTTGGATACAAAACCGAAGGTGCTAAGGAGTGAACCATGTGGATACCTGAGAAAATCATGTTCCAGGCAGACGAAATGCAAGTGCACAAGTCTTGAGGCAGGAGAGGGTCTGGCCTTTCTGAGGGATAATAAGATGGCCAGCATGGCTGGAGGGAAGTGAGGAAGGAGAAAAGAGAAAATGATGGGTTCAGAGAGTTTAAGGGCCTGTGGGTTACTTTGACTTTTACTTGCACAAGGTAGGAGCCACTGAGGGTTCTAAACAGAGGAATGACATGATCAGTCTTAGGTTTTCAGTAATTTGATCAGGCAGCTGTGATGAGAACAGACCACCGGAAGGGAAGGGCAGAAACAGGGAGATGGGTTAGGAAGCCATTGTAGTGGTCCGGGTAAGAGATGAGGTTTGCTTGGACCAAGGTGATGGAAGTGGAGAGAAGTGCTCCAATTCTGAATGACTTGGAGATATAGCCAATAGCACTTGCTCTGATTGGATTTAAGGTGTGAGAGAAAAAGCAGTCAAGGATAATGCCAAGGTTTTTAACCTGAGCAACTGGAATTTACAGTTACTATTTTCTGCTATGAGGAAGCCTGGAGGAACCAGTTTGGAGAGGAATCTTGGAGTGCAGTTGGGGTGTATTAAGTCTGAGAAGCCTATTAGACATCCAGTGGTGCAGAGTAAACACTTGGATATTCTAATGTGGTATTTAGGGAAGGATTAGGGCTGAAGACATAAATGTAATATCTAAAACATGAAACTGGATGAGATCAAAAAGAGAGTGCATGTAGATAGAGAAGTCCAAGTGTAAATCCTCGGGCACTCCAAGATTAAAGTGTCAGGGAGAGGAGGAAGAACAAGCAAAAGAGACTGAGAAAGAACAGCCAATGAGGAAGGAGAAAAACCAAGAGTGTGATGTCCTGGAATCCAAGGAAAAAAAGTGTTTCAAGCATGTGAAAGTGATCAGCAGGGTCAAATGCTGCTGATAGGTTGAGCTGAGGCTGACAGATGATGTTGGATTTAACAGCATGTCATTGGGGACCTTGACGCAAGTCATTTCAGTGGAGTGATGGGTTGAAAGCCTGGTTCAAGTAGATTCAAAAGAAATTTAGAAGAGAAAAATTAGAGGTGGCAGGTATGGGCAACTCTTTTAAAGAACTTGGCAATAAAGGGAAGCAGAGAAATGGGTGAAAGCTGAAGAGGAAAATGATGGGAGAAATTAGAGCATGTTTGTATGTTGATGGGAATTATCTAGTAGAAAACGGAAATGATGAGAAAGGATGTAGTCAATATTCATTTGTACAAGAAAATAGCAGAAAACAACATAGCCTACTTGATAAAAGAATTTATATAACAAAGGATTTTATTGTAATATTTAAGACAGATTTTTTTACTGAAACATAATAAACACCCATGAACCCACCAACCACCCCAAGAGCTAGACTACTACCAGTAACATCTATGTGCTCCTCCCTCTCTAATCTTACCTCTGTTTTAGAAGAAAGCAACTTTCCTGAATTGTATTATTATCATTTCCCTGTAAAATTATATTCTCCTGACTGTATCCTGTTATATTTATTGACCAGCAGATCAAGGATAATCTAACCTATGCCCTCAACCTGGCCTCCTACAGACAGACATCAAACCACCTCAGTCAGCTAGTGCCATGAAATTCCTCCCTTAATTTAACCTGCTACACTAAAATTCTATTTTATTTCATCTTCTCTCCAGCTGCTAGTGCTTTGTCTGAAAAACCCCTTCTTCTGCACAAAGATCATTATTATTCATTCCTGCCAGCATTATTTACTCTGCATAAAAGCAGGAAGAGATTGGCACACCTTCATCTCATGTGCATATACAGAACAGACCCCAGTGGCCAGAGCATTCTTGTTATCCTGGATGACGCACCTGCAGCCCTCAAGCCTCCAGCCCCTCCCTCCCAACTTAAGGCACACCCTGTTGGTCAGATGCCTATACCACCACCTGGCAGCCCCTCCACAGAGGCCTCAGAAAGGCAGGTGATAGCCAGTGACTGGGTTTCTTTCATCCCCAGATCTTGCCCCGTGGGCAGTGGCCATTCTCAGATCATCCAGGTTTCTCCAGGTGTGCAAGGACCTGCAGGATTTTGACAAATGCCAGCAGAGTGGCTTCTTTACAAATGGATGACAACAGGCTGCAAAAAGCTTTCTGCATGCATAAGCCAAAAATCTAGTTCTCCTACTTGTTAACTGATGCTTAAAATTGCTTTAAGGAGAGACAAAGGCTTTCATCTCACAACCAGAGAAAGCTTTGAAGGCCCTGGGTGAACTAATCTATTTAGACTAATACACACTGTAGTATAAATGGACTGAAGGATTAGATGATGCAATGGGCAGTTTTAAAATGGGTGTGAAGTGACACGGGATGTAGCAGAGAAAGATGGGGCTTTTCTTGCCTCCTTGGGTGCTTAAAAAGAACAGTCTTGAGGCCAGGTGTGGTGGCTCACACCTGTAATCCCAATGCTTTAGGAGACCAAGTGGGGGGTGCATCACTTGAGCCCAGGGGTTCAAGACCAGCCTGGGCAACATGGCAAAACCCCGTTTATAAAAATATAAAAATTAGCCTAGTGTGGTGGCACGCACCTGTAGTCTCAGCTACTTGGGAGGCTGAGGTGGGAGGATTGCTTAGACCTAGGAGATTAAGGCTGCAGTGAGTCATGATCACCCCATTGCACTCCAGCCTGGGCAACAGAGCAAGATCCTGTCTCAAAACAAAGCAAAGCAAAGCAAAACAAAACAAAACAAAAAAACAGTCTTGAAATCAGAAGACCTGGAGTCAAGCTGGGCGCTGGGCCCTACTGCCAGCTGTTTGATCACAAGCAAAATTACTGGAAGCCTTGAGCCTGTTTTTTATTTTCAAAGCGAAGGTAGTATCTACCTTCAGAGTTTACCGTAAGACTTTGATGTCATCATGTTTGTAAAAGTGCCCTGGCACAGTGACCACATTCTATCCAGTAAACATTGTCTATCTTTCCCTGTTGTCCCCAGGCATCTCAGGCTCTGCTCCTATCCACTCCATCCCTCTTTCCTAGCATTATAAGGTCAAGAGTGAGGTATCTGGGACCATGCAACCCAGGTTCAAATCCTGACTCTATCACTTGCTGACATCTTGGACAGGTTTAACCTCTCTGGGCTCAGTTCCCTCATCTGTAAAAATGGGGATAACAATAGTACTTGCCTCATGGAGTGACAGTAAGGATGAAATGAGTTCATATGTGTAATGCACTTAGAACAATTCCTGGCACCAAAAAACGCATTGTAAGAAGTGTTGTTACTATGATTCCCAAGGACTTCTCACCTGTCCACTTTCCACAAGCCGAAAGATCAAGTTCCACTTCCGCTCTCTCACCTACAAAAGCTCACGGTCAATGGCTACACATTCCGTCCCACCCCCAACGCCCCCAGCCCGGGTTTCCTAACGCCCCCAGCCCTGTCCTTAACCCTCCAGGCCGTCTGGTCCTTCCACCACCAGCAAAGCCAAAAGCAGCTTTCAGCTTCCCCCAGCAGCGCCCTAGCGGGACCCTGGGAACCCGCCGCTGCAGGAGGGGCGGGGCGGCTCTGTGACGTCGCGCCCGGCCCTACCCCGGGTGACCTGGCAGCGGAGCCCGCGCAGGGTTTGCCAGGCGAAGGCGGAGCGCTAACGTCTAACGCTAACGGCGGTCGTGCCCCGCCGCTGCTGTCACCCCTGGCCGCTGCTGCCCTCCCCGCCGAGGTTCTGCTGCTCTTCTTGAGAAGAAGGGTGTGAGGCACTGGGTCTCTCCCCACACCTCTCGCCTGAGGCCAGACAGCCGGTTTGGGAGCGAGCCTGAGGTAGCCACCCCGAGGGGAAGTGGAGGGAGGGCAGGGCTCTGAGCGCCCCGAGGGCTGCACTGGTCTGAGCGAGGAGCCCTGCAGGACGCCCCCTGGCTTCTGAGCCTCCCCTTGTTCACAGAGCAAGGGAAAGGCAAGATCTTCAAGAGAAAGTGACTGTTGGGGATTATGGCTTTCTGGCCAATTTGTGTGCGTATTTTGTACCCAGAATACTATTATATGGTTTCTTACCCTGAGGACAGTGATAGGGAGACTCAAAAGTCTGGAATCAGAGCCCTCCACGGAGGAGCCACACCTCTGCTTTTTCATCAACAACAGGGATATAAAAATAACTTTGGGAGAATTGTCAGGTGGACCAATGGGCATACCTAGCACTTCACAGACTGCTATCACGCATTCTTTTATACCTAGCACTTCACAGACTGCTATCATGCGTTCATTTTTACTAGTATCTATTGAACACTAAGTTCCAGGCACTGGGTAGGCACTGGGATGGTGTGGTGAGCAAAAACTGACCAGTCCTGCCGTGGAGTTTAGTGGGAGAGGCACATGTTACTCAAAGAATCACAGCAACGATAGGTAAGTGATGCTCTGAAAGGGTATGTACAATGGAACTGACAGGGTGGTCAGGGAAGGTTGAGCAGATTTCCAAAGGAAGAATTAACCTGTTAAGAGGAGGAGAATGCATTCCAAAGAAGAGTAACCACATCCCAAACCCACCACCTCCAATTCCAAACCCAAACAGGGATGTGCAGTTGCCTGTGCTTGGTTCCAAGCTACTCACAGAAACCCTCTGAGATTCTGACCTGGAGCCTTTCATTCATGTAACTGGAGACTTTCATTTATGAAACGGAAGCCCTGTTTAGCCCATACCAATAAAATCAAGTGAGAGATTCCTGAAACAAGACTATAGTCTAGTTAAGACCAACATTCTTCAGCACTTGGCAGGTATATGTTGGGATGCCATTTCACATTGAGAGGCATGTTTTGTTTGCTTTTTCGTGTTTTAAAAAAATTCCTTTTTTCCTCTCTACAGATTTAGTGGTTATATTACTGTTAAAACTTTTCTAATACTTTTCTAAGTCTAAAATTAATCATTATTTTATCATCCTTTTCCTCCAAATAAAAGAATATAAATAAAGTAAAAGATCGTTAAGTCCCACCAACCTAAGACGACTTTAGCTTCTTGTCTTGGAATTTCCCAGCCGTGCTGGTGCTGGTATACATTGAAAACTTAGAACTAGTCCGTGGCTACAAACTCCTGGGGGACTGTGTCTCTCCTGACTAGAAGCAGCAATGCAGACAGGTTTCTTTGCTGCTTACCCCCGCCTGTAGGCGGATATTTTCAGCCACACCTTCTCACGCTGAGGGTGTAGTCCCTGGGTGGGTCTCAAGTTTAGGTCAGAAGGGGAGTCCTTTAGTCCAGACATTTGCCTTTTGTGAGCCCAATCCTTGGTCTCTACCCACCCTCCCTGGCCATTTATCTCAAAGCTTCAAGTTCCTGCCATCTACATTTGCCCAGATGAGCCCTAGTATCTTCATTTGCCCAGCACTGCGGGTTCCACTTTACTCACCTCATTGGCCACTGGAAGATTTCTCTCACTTCACTGCAAGCCCAGCAAGGCAATGTGAAAGGCTTGTACTGAGATTTGGCTGGCCTCTAGGTGATTTGAAGAGGGACAGCTTTTTAGCATATCTAATCTGTCCCTTTCTCTACTAAAAGCAGACAAAAATCTTTTGATCTGTTGTTTATTTGTGGAGGGAATTGTATACACTTTATGGATTTTCATGTTTTGTTTCAATTTGTCCTGGAACTTTTTGAGAGAAAATGTACTAGTTTTCCGCCTGACAATTAGAGTGGAAAAGAACATGCAGCTATAGAGACTCTCATCAAATGGCTGTTTAATGACTGTTTTTATGTGGAAATAACCTAATGTTAATTCATAGAGGGTTCAAAGTAAATTTTGCTACAATTCTTACCCAGCTAATAAGAGCTGGATGACATGCAAAGATGTTCATGATCTACTTTTGAGTAAATAAACTGTTTTGTATAATCTCATTTTAAAATTTTACAAACATATATATTTATACTGACAAATTCTGGAAGGAGACATCCAATATTTTGGGGGTGATATCATTAGGGATTTTTTTTTGACCTCCACTTCTTAAATAAACAAGGCTGTGTAATTTTTATGTAAAGGACATAAGTATTTACAACAAAAAGTAGGGATTAGCAGACGGCTTTCTAACCTTGGCGTTGTGTAACCATAGAATGCATTTGTCTTGTGGAGTCTCCAAAATTGAGAGTGTCAAACAGAGGCTGGGTGACCTGTCCAGGATTGCTCTCATCTTATGAGTCCAAGTTTTCATCTTATGTATTTTTTTCTCCTGAGAATAGGTCAACCAATCAATGGCTCAGACAGATAAGCCAACATGCATCCCGCCGGAGCTGCCGAAGATGCTGAAGGAGTTTGCCAAAGCCGCCATTCGGGCGCAGCCGCAGGACCTCATCCAGTGGGGGGCCGAGTATGTGCTCCTTTATCGCCTTCACCTCTTGGAGGACGGACGGGCGGGGAGAGAGGGTCCTGGAAAAGCGCGGAGGTTGCCATGGCTGCAGCCAGGGGGTCGGGACTAACTGGCAGTGTCTTTGTTTTAGTTCTTGCATTGCTTTGATGCTTTAAAATCCACACGTAAATATTACATCTAGTCGGGCGAGGATGGGATGCCTCCCCTAAGCGAGCCAGATTGAGCAGTAGGACGCCAGGTCAATAGCCCGTGTCCTGGGGCAAGCAGCAAGAGTTAAGTGACCGCGTCACACCAGCGTATGCGCACACCCTCCTCCTCCCTGCACTCCCTTCCCCAGTCCGGGTGGAAAGAAGGGCTGGGAATCTCCGAAGCTTAATCTGCCTTTCTTCGTTCTCCTGTCTCACCACTAGATGGCAGCAGTGCAGCCGGGGGAGGGACGCGACAGCCCTGGGTGGATGGGGTGGGACCAGTCCAGCTAGTTCACCCCTTTAAGGAGACACTTCATCCCCTGTGTTAAAACTCTTACTTGGACCCAACCAAAGACGCTTTGTATCTTGTCTTTGAGGAAATTGTTATTTTCTTTAGTGTTTCTCTGAACTGATTTGTTCTGCCAACATAAAGATGTCCGCACAGTACCCATTGCATTCTGGAGAAAGGCCAAGCAGAGTGATGGGGTCCTCAGGCACGGCTGAAAACAGTGTGCCTCAAACACGCGGGCCTTCTTTCAGGAGAGACCTCCAGAAGCTGCTGAGTAGATGGAGCTCACACAACAATCGCTGCGGGCCGGGATTGAAGCAGCTTTGCACAGAAAGCCTCTCAGCTATGAAATTGCTCCTTAGACAAACTTGCCTGCTTGAAACTGGGGAACCAGGACTTGAGACAGGAGCTGGAGGATAACTAGACCTCTCGGACCATTTTCAGGCTATTTTTACTGTTTTATGATTCCCTGCTTAGGAGGGTTTCAGTAGGAAGGGGAGAGTGAGAGAGGCCGTTGAGAGACAGCCAGTGAGTTGGGGAAGGGAAGATGTCCTCAGCCTGAGGTTGTGAGCGGGTGTACTGCGCAGATGGTGGGGAGAGTGTGGACACCTTTGAGAAGACACCAAATGTCATCTAAGCCTTTCGGAGTCTCTGGGTCAGTGCTGTGCTCCCGGGCTGGATTAGGATGCAGCTTTTACAACTGGAAGGAAAATAGGCCAGGGTGCTCATAAAAAGAAACCTAAATGGCGGTTGCTTCACCTAGTAATGAGCCCTGTTTAGTTTTCCATTCTAAATTTTATATATTGCCTCTAAGATTGAACTTTAGCATCAGAAGACTAATTTATTTTGGCATAGTCAGATAGACAGACTTTATCTTATACGTTAGCTTCAAACCCATTTTATTGTCCTTGTGCTGCTGTTTTATAATAAGCAAAATGACATTGCTTAGTATTGTCCCTGACATTTATGGAAGAAGGCAGTCACTATTGTAGCCTGCTCGCTCTCATATTGTATCACATGCTATAATTTTTTAGACATCCATGAAAACTTAGTTTGTAGTTTAACCACAATGAAAAAGGAGGGCATGACCTAAGAGCCCCCTCCTTTCTATCCAGACGTGAAAAGCACCGCTCAGATGGTTGTATGTGACTTACTTAAAACCTGTACCATTTTAGAGAATAAAACTCTACGAAGTATTTCCAAGACAAAATACATATTTAATCCATTGCAAGTAAGAATTTCATTATACATGTGTTGTCAACGAAGAAACCTTACCAGGCATTGGCAGGACATATACTTATTTGTCCTCTGGTAGGCATGTGTTACAACACAAATTCGCAATCTATGTGTATAACCATGGACCTGATCACTTGCAAATGAAGCTCAATACCCCAAAGAACGAAATCCATGATTACAGCTTTATTTTCATGTTGTCTAACCAATTCCACAAGAAGTCCAGAGATGTTGGTGCTGAGTGTTACTCTACCTGGGCAGCACTTCTGTAGAATGAGGTGCTGTGTGTCTCTGTCCCTCCCATTTATACCACCCAAGTCCGGTTATAAAGCCTGAGGCCACACCCCGCTCCTGCTGTCACATTGCACCCACACCCCACCCACCGCAACACTGATCTGTGTGCAGAGATTTCTCATGCACGTTGTTAAATGTGGCCTTAACGTATTTCTTCTGCCCTTCCTGCTGATGACCTCCAAGGGGTGACTGGCAGTTACTGCTTTAGTCCATGTAGCTTTAGCTCTGCCTGGCTATGTGGCTCAGAGACAGGCAATGGTTAGCCCATCATTGTATGGCTTGACCCTAAAATGGACTTTTACTAAATTCCCTCTATGTTATTTTCATACAACCTGGATCTGGAGGAAGTAATGGAGGGAAAAAAGCAGGGAGGGACAGAAATTTGTGGCTCATGGATTGTCAATAACCAGGCTTTGATGGAGACAGACGCTGCCATACAGCATTGGTGACCCACATGTCAGCGGCTCATGTCCGTTCCCTGTCAGAGAGAACATAGGTCTTTCCATCTGTACCCCACCAAGCTCAACACCTGTCCCTACCCGTTCCCCTCAATGCTGGCAGCAGGAGCCCTTACCACTGAGAATGCAGGATTCTTTAACACCCTCACGGTGTTAGGCCTCTGGCCCAGTTACACAGGCAAGCCAACTCGCTCAGACTGCTCTCTCCAAACCACGAGGCGTTCTTCCACGGGACACCGGCCTCACAAGGAATAACTACCCCAGAGAAAAAAAGCTCGAGTAGGAGAGCATCCTATATCCACGCTTGGCCCTCTGCTGTTCTAGAGCATCCTTCCTTTTTCTGAGGGGAAGGAAGGTCGAGAAAGGTAAGCTTTGTGAGTGGCTTCTATGTGATCATTGTGTTAGTTCACTTGGGCACATGGAGAAAAGCCTGGATGTGATTACTCTGCACTTAGGGCCACCCAGAGAATGCTTAGAGAGAATGTACAAGCTTTGCTTCTTCTCTAGAGGAGGAAGAACCAAGAAAAAGGTTTGGGGTATGCGCAACTTCCCTGAGCATATCGGTTCAGGTTTTTTTTTTTTTTTTCCATCTCTGAATGTTTGATACATGCAGATATTATATTACATAGTATTATAAATCTCTGGGAAGAGAATTGTGGGAAGAAGACTATACAAAGTAATGTACGTAAAAAAAGGGGACAGCAGGCACGGAATGGTGGCTAGGGCCTGTAATCAGGCAACTCCAGCGAGGCATACAGCTGGAAGAGGCACTTGAGCCAGGAGTTTGAGGCTGCAGTGACTATAATTGTGGTCCTACCACTCCAGACTGGTGACAGAGTGAGACCCCCATCTCTGATGAAAATAAAAAAGAGGGAAGGGGAAGAGATGGGTGGTCCTAGGGGTGAATCAGGAGGGTTTCTGGCTGGAGGTAGTGAGGCTTGGAGCTTCAAGAGGGAAGGGAGAGAGGTTTGTCAGGGCACCGTGCAAGGCTCAGGAGAGAAGACAAGCCAAAAAGAAGGTTTGAGACAATCAGAAGCTATATGGTGACTGTGGAAATAAAACTGTTTATCCATCTTTCCTTCAAATTTTCAGTAAAATCTGCCACCCTCATATTGTGGATTGGGGACTGGCACTGGTGGAAAAGTACCTGGGGTTCGTTTCCGGATGGCATAAGATGAAAAGAGGCTCCTGCAACA